GCAAATATTGTTTAATTTACAAGATTTCACATTTTAGAACGTTCAGAATAAATTACTTCGTTTGATTATTTTAGGGATTGTAAAATTTACATTGTAACATCTACTTCAAGATGTGCGATTTTTTAAATTAAATCTTGGATCTTGTGATTTTGTACTGCCTAATTCAACTGCAAGTATATTATTTTGTTTATAAGATTTGAGAATATGTGATTTTGTGCTTGCTCATTTATGTGATAATATATTTCATTTTGATCATTGTTTAAGCGGTGCCCGGAAATCGGGAGCTTGCTGTTTTTTTATAATTCAAGCCGTCGAATATTGTTCGTCCTATCACACTTTCATCAAGAGCTCAATCAACTAAAATTATTATCCGTCCAGCCACCTCCGAAAGGAATCTGCTCGTTACCTACAGAACCAAGGAGCGACTATTTTAATCGACGCCGCGGCCTATTACAATTCTAAAAGAAAAGTTCTGTTGTGATGAACCTGAACAACGACAACTCTAACAGACACAACAGTTAGGTCATGTACATTTTGAAAGAACAGGGGAGGGGGGAAGGGAAAGGATGCTGGAAGGGTTGGTGGGTGAAAAGAAGGAGGAAGTGCGCTCCTTGTTTTGTCAGGGATAGGGCTGAAATACTTATTGCTTCCACAGTGCTGTTATAACTGGAATGAACAGTAGCTCAAATGTTGCTTTGCAGGTAGGATTTAGGTACAGAGTAAACAAGGAGAACGAGGATGCAAGTCAGGAGCTCGAGGCTAGAACTAGAGACATCAGTAAGGAGAAAGAGAAGACAAGGCACAACAAGAGAAAGTAAATAAAAACCGACCTGGTTGCACGAGTAAAAACAAAAACAAAAAGAAATGTGAACCTATGAGTGGAAGCACAAAAAAGGTAAAAGCAAAAGAAAAAACCTAAGTTTGTGTGAGCGGAAATTTTCCTATAAAAACCAGTCATCAGTAGGGGCTTCCCCATTTATGAACCTGATGTTTTGGTAAGGCTAAGAGCGAACAGGGTGCAGTTACGTAAGTAAAACTGAGAGCTCACAGCTTTACCTGAGCATCAGCTTCACAAATAGGGAGCCCACTACTGCAGGCGAGCTTTTATTAGGCAATTTCCACTCGCAACTTTTTGCTTTTGCGAAGTTTATTTGTTTGCTGCTTTTGCTTTCTTCAGTTTTTGTTCGTATGTTCCGATTCTTTGACTTTGCATTTTTCTTTTTTTTCCATAAGTTTAGGTTTTCTTCAATTCATTTTTCTTTGTAATGCTCTCTTCCTCTTTGCTGCCGTCTCCAGTTCTTGCCTCGAACTCTTAACTAGTGCCCTTGTCCCCATTCTCTACCCTGTCTTTAATCTGTGTCCTCGGGGCTGCACCTGAGCACCTACTCACTAGCTGCCCCAGCCGCGTCCGATCCCTTCCCCAGTCCAACCACGCGATTCAGCCAAGTGCTGGGTAGCGCTACTCAGCGCTCGTTCGCAAAGTACCAAGCGGTGCCGGCAAGCAAAGCCGCGAAATAGCGTTGGCAAAGAAACTGGAGCATTTTCACAGTATTGCTCGAGCCGAGGTCTAGTAACTGCGGGTAAACTGGAAAAAAAAAAGTTTTTAAACAGATTCATGGGGTTAAAAAGCTTCATGTTTCTGTATGTAGTCAGGTCAAATGGCAGACAGCTCTCGGATGCGCTTCCAAGGAGAAAGCCTTTTGCTGCAGTTTGACGTTTTTTATGCGCTTTTCGCACCTATGCAATGCAAAAGCGCTTTTTGTCGAGGAGTTGTCTGTATGTGTGTGTATGTGTGCGTGTCTGTATGTTCATTTCTACATGTGCGTCTGTACCGATTTTTATGCTTTTTTGCTTATTTGCAAATTGCAAAAACGGATGTTGCAACGACTCTGTCTGCATGTGTATATGTTTGTTTGTGGGTGTATGTGTGTATGTGCGTGTATGTTCGTCTGTCCAGGTATTTCAACTCAACAACCAAGCAAGCTTCGGCGCCAAAATTTTGGCAGTGGGTTCGTCTGCCAAGTGCCACACCAGAACCGCGGCACCAACACTCACGCAAGTTTGACCCTCGCGTACGAGGGGGTGAAAGTTTTGGCGGGGAAACTGCTAACTCGGGAACGAAAAAAGCTAGAAAGCTGAAATTTTGAAATTATGTTCTCCGTCCACATATAACTCAAGGATTTCAAATTTAGCCCCCGGGTTGTTTGGTTCCTGCGTACGGCCCCGTGAGGGTTCCTCGCTCAAAAAACGCTAACTTTGGAACCAGAAAAACTGGGAGGCTGGAATTTTCAGGGGATGTTCTCAGCACATACACAACTTGAAGTTATTGAATTCAGCCCTCAGGCATGCGTGTTTTTCCCGTACGGTCCCGTGGATTTTTTTTTTTTGCGGGAAAATGGCTAGATCGGGGAAAAGGAAAGCTGGGAGACTTAAATATTAAAGGAATGTTCCCTGCTCACGTGCAACTTAAAGATTCCAAACCCAGCCCCCAGATATGCTCTCAAGTGGCGTGCGGCTATTTGAAAGTTTTGGCGGGAGAATTGGTAACTCGGGGACCAGAAAAGCTGAAAAGCTGAGGTTTTAGGAGAACACTCTCCGTTCAAATACAACTTAAAGGTTTCAAATTCAGTCCTCCACTTACGCGTGTTTCTCGTGTACAGGCACTCAAATTTTTGGCAGAAAAATTACTCACTGAACAGCAGGGTCATTTTCAAATAAATGGCCAACGCACGAGCTGCCCGTGCGAAAATGCGTTTTTTGCAGAGTTTCCCGCAGGTTTTTGTCGCTACCGGCACCGGTTTCTTGGCGAATCCCTCTAGCTGAACAAATTAGGACTGGCCGCCAAAACTGGCAGGAATCACTCCTTTAAAATTTCAGCTTTCTAGCATCTCAGATCCCCGAGTTATGAATTTGCGCGGGAAGAATTTTGGCGGGCTCGTACTCGGGTACCGCGCTAACCCGGGA